TAAAAAAAAACTAATTTAAAAAATAATATAAACTGACTGGAAGGAATTTTTTTGTTTCTTTTCCTAAAATAGCTAATTTGCGCTTTTTTTTTTAATATTCTTTCATCGCAATGTAATTCTGTCTATTAAGAAATCTTTCAAACTATACTATTTTTAAACTTTATTTTAGATATATGATCTGATTTAAAGTATAATACGATTTGAAACAACTCTTATTTTCTTTAAGTTTAAAATAGCAAAGGATTGCATATTCTAACCAGACAGTAGTTAAATAAACTTTTGAACTCCCGCCTTGCTTGGTGTGAAATAATAATAATAATAATAATAATAATAATAATAATAATAATAATAAAATAAAGAGGGCGCTTTTTGTTTTTTTAGAAAATTTCTCGACCCTCAAGGGTTTATTAAAACCACTATGTTTCTTTATTTGCGCTTTTTGACATTTTAAATAATTTTCTGATCCCCTTTTTATTAACACCCCCTTTTTGTTATATATCGATAAAATTCCGTCTTCTGATTTTTAACACCTCCCTCCCCCAATTCTTAATTTGTTAATTTTTATTTTCATTTTTTAACATTTATGTTGTTACATTTTTACTTGTTTTATCAGAACGTGATTTTCCATCGGTTTGGATTTTGCTTCTTATATTCGACGCAACTCGAATCGAAATATGAAGTTGTCTCTTATAAAATCTGTTAAAAATGTATTGACTTTATATTCTTTTATAATTTCTTTAACAGATAAGAGTCATGACATTCTCAAAAGTCTTTCTTTTGCTGATCGCTTCTTTGCTGATCGCTTCTTTGCTGATCGGAAACACCAACGTCATAGGTAAGTCAAGCATACGTATCTTTACAATATATACAATTCATGATTGTTTTGTTTTGGTTTGGTTTATTTATCAACTCCTTATGAGTCATTTAATGACGAAATTTAATTTTCTTGGGTGCTTTCAAGTAATAAAAATATGATATATGTTCTTCTGCTTTCACAATTGAATACATGGTAGATAACACTCAGCTTTTATGCATATACAGTGGGGGGAAATAAATATTCGTACACTTGAAAAATTGTATTTTTATAAATGTAAAAGCCTTAAATAAAACAAATCTCGGCACATTTTATGTATAAAGACACATACTATTAAAAAATAATAATAAACTAAATTAATTCTTATTTTAACAGAAATTAATGCATTTTTTAAATTCTAACTGGTGAAAAAAGTATTCGTACAAGTCAATTATTAGTATAAAATAATTAATTATGAAAAAAATATATTCTAGAATGTTCCAGTAATGTTATGAGTAATTATAGTTAATGCTATTAGCCATTATCAGAGCATTCTGCAATTTCTAGTCTTACGAGAAGGTTCTAATAAGGCCTAAAGGTAAAGAATTGACTATTTCACAAAAACAACACATTTTGTCTCTTTGGAAAGATGGGAACAGTTACAGAACGATTTCTAACAACCTGAATATTCCTTTTACTACAATTGCTTCGTTCATTGCAAGGTTTAAACAGCGTCGCAAACCAAAGACGAACAGGTGCTCTGAGGAAGATTTCTCTAAGATCAGTAAGGATATTAGGACGCTAGATCCAACAAAATCCACAGGTTACCCGAGAAGAGCTGCAGGAACATCTGCGTGCATTAGGGATTAAAGTAACCAAGCGTACAATAAGTAATGAACTACACAAAAACAGTCTGAAATCACGCATCGCAAGGAAGACTACACCCCTCTTGAAACGACACAGAGATGCTAGGCTAAAATTCGTTAGAGAGCATAAGAAGAAAGAATATTCGTTTTGGGAAAAAGTACTATGGACAGATGAAACTAAAATAGAGTTGTTTGGTCATAATTATCGAAATCGTGTGTGGAGGAAGGACGGTGAAGCCTACTTACCAAAGAACACGTTGCCAACTGTAAAGTTTGGTGGTGGCAGTATCATGATTTGGGGCTATTTTTCTGCAAAAGGTGTTAGCAGAATATCAATAATAGATGGCAAGATGAATGCCGAAAGATACCAGAAAATCCTGCAAGACAATTTAATGCGTTCTGTTGAGAGACTTTGGCTACCTCTTGATTGGGTTTTCCAACTGGATAATGATCCTAAGCATACCGCTAGATCTACAAGGAAATGGTTAGCTGAAAGTAACGTTGATATCTTACAATGGCCAAGTCATTTCCCAGGCTTGAACCTAATCGAGAATTTATGGCGATATTTGAAAATTCAAATTGGGAAAAGAGCACCAACAATATCATTAGTTGTGACGTACAGGAATAGACTGGTAGCTGTTGAACTCAATATAGGATATTCCACAAAAGTATTAAATTAAGTTAATATGCTTTTTTGTTTTGTACGAATACTTTTTTCATCAGTTAAAATGAAAAAATGCATTAATTTCTGTTAGAATAAGAATTAATTAAGTTTATTACTATTTTTTAATAAAATGCATCTTTACACATAAAATGTATCACAATTTGTTTTAGTTAAGGCTTTTACATTTATAAAAATACAATTTTTCAAGTGTACGGATATTTATTTCCCCTCCCCCCACTGTACATGTTTATGTGAACATAATTACTAGAGAAAGGTGGGTACGGTGGAGTAATGGATAGTGGCTCGGATTGAGCAATCGAGGAGCCATTAAATTCACTTTGGCAACCAGTTTAGGAGAAGGAAAAACTCTGAATTCAGGAGAGGGTTGGGCTCCGTCAGGCTATTTTACCCAAGAAACGCCGCATCTACTGTGACTGAAGTGCACCTGGTGCCGCTATGGGTCACGGGATAAAAAATTACTAGAGGCGATGATATTTGTTTTATGCTGTAGTTTTGTTGAAGTTATATTTTGGAATACAGTTTGATTTCTTTAAGAAATTATAGGATATTATATGGATTAATATTATGAAAGAGTTCTTTCATATTGATTTTTAGTTTAGCAGCATATCAACCTTTATTGGTTACTTAATGCAGAAATCTAAATATTTTTAACACTATTTTATGACTTCAACTAAATATATTTTGAACGCAATTTTATACGTTCAACTATAGATAAAATGAGTAATTAGTCATTTTACATTAAAAACTTATTGTTCGTATTTTTACCATAAAAATATATTTTTATACTTTCATAGTGTTTAGTTTTTGTTTGAAGGTTCGCGAATCTGTATAGCCATAAACCAAATGGATATGAAAAGGAGAGGTTAATTTACGTACAGTGGGGGATCAGTTTTATATTGTTATTAAGTAATGAAGCGATACCCCATGGCAAGACTTTTATAATTAAATTAGAACCGATCATTGATTTTGACCAGATTAATTTCTGACACCTGCCAATACTTTTCTTCCTATTCGTTTTTATAGGAAAATTATCGGTATTTTTTATACTGAAAGAAATAGAATTAAGAATTAGAATTATTTTTGTTTATTTTAACGCTACATTTGAATGTAGTGTTTAAGTTGAGATTTTTATGGTCTGCTGGTGAGAGGTCTTCGTGCTGAATTTTTCAGGCCAAGAAACTGGTTGTTCCCTTCACGAATTTTTGACTTGTCATCCACGGGCTAAATGTATAGACTTAGCTGATGGTTCCTTTAAATGCGAATGTCCAGTGAATGCAATTGGAGACGGACTGAAAGGAGAAAATCATACAGGATGCGTTATCGGTAAGTAAATTATCTATCTATCTATCTATCTATCTATCTATCTATCTATCTATCTATCTATCTCACACTCCCTCTATCTCTGTTCGTTTCTTTGTTTTCTTTCTTTCTTTATTTCTTTCTTTCATTCATTCATTCATTCATTCATTCTTTCTTTCTTTCTATTCAATATCACTTTCTCTCTCTATCTATTCAAGCTTTATCTCTCTCTGTTGGTCTGTTCGTTTCTTTGTTTTTCTATCTTTATCTCTGCTGATATATATCTATGTTCTTTTTCTCTCTTTCTCTCTTTTTCTTTCTTTCTTTCTTTCTATCTATCTATCTATCTATCTATCTATCTATCTATCTATCTATCTATTCGGTCTCTTTCTCTCTGTTAGTCTGTTCGTTTCTTTGTTTTCTATCTATCTATCTATCTATCTATCTATCTATCTATCTATCTATCTATCTTTGTTTGTTCTTTTCTTTCTTTCTTTCTTTCTTCTTTCTTTCTTTCTTTCTTTCTATCTTAGTTTGTTCTTTTCTTTCTTCTTTCTTTCTTTCTTTCTTTTTATCTATCTATCTATCTATCTATCTATCTATCTATCTATCTATCTATCTATCTTAGTTTGTTCTTTTCTTTCTTTCTTTCTTTCTTTCTTTCTTCTTTCTTTCTTTCTTTCTTTTTATCTATCTATCTATCTATTAAAACTCTCTCTGACTATCTCTGTTAGTCTATTCGATTTTTTGTTTTCTATATATCTATCTCTATCGATCTATCTCTGTTTATTTCTATCTCTCTATCTACTTATCTATGTTAGTCTCTTCTTTTCTTTTCTTTACTTTTTTCTTTCTTTCTCTCATTCTCTATTTCTCTCTTTCTATCTATCTATCTATCTATCTATCTATCTATCTATCTATCTATCTATCAGTTCTAAAATCTTTTGAGTCGACTTAAAGCGAACTTGATTTTTTATATTTTTGAAAAGCCTGCATATATAAAGTTCTTTCTAAGTCATCTGATGCATTCGTAAATTAGTGCGTGTTGGAAAATCACTTTTTGAAACCACTCCCGGATTCCTCTTTCTTTCGCTTACAAATCGTCTTGGCGCGCATTTAACATGTTCTTCTTTTCGTTTTCTTTTTACAGAAGGTGAACATGTCTCCTGTCTCGACAACAGTACATGTCACAAGACCTTGGGATTTTGCAGCAGCAGCAGGATATGTGAATGTATGGTTGGATTCACGGGCGACGGCGTTTCAGATTGCAAAGGTAGGCTCAACGCTGAGAAATATAATCGAGACAATTGTCGCCATTTTTATTATTTTTTTAAATTTGCCTTTCGTATTCTTATGACTCTTATTTTGTTTCATTAACTTATAACAACACAAATACTACACAAATAAAATACAGCATTTAGAAACTGATGATATTTTGAGAAAACAGTCATATTTTTAATGCTGGAGCGGAAAGAGTTGAATCCCAAGTTGTGTACATCGGGATATAAATTATACAGAAAATAGATAATGTAGTATGATGCCATTATCAAAAAAACCAGGTGCACCAGTTGCTTGATCTAAGCTCACTCGCGGCCGCCGAATGCAAAAGTACATAACTTTACACTTGCACCCAGTTTTACAATTGTTGCAAAAATTGACGATTTTCTTTTTTCACCAAATACAAGTTTCGAAAGGTTTATCTCGATCAATACGTTTGGCTCTCATGCGACGTATTTCTGGGCCTTACCCAATGAATGAAGATGATGAACGAATGAGAACTTCTTCTCAACTGATTCCCTTGTGGTCTGCCGCGGTTTTTCTTTAGTCAGCGCATGCATTTGGTTCCCATCAAACTGTACAGGTCGGACAGAACGCGGACAGTCTGTGGGTTCGATGTTCCACGCCTTGAAACAGGAAAACCATTTCAGTGCCATTCTGTTAGTAATGAAGTTCTCTCCGTACAGAGCACACATGTCTCAAGCAGCTTTGACATCTTTGAGACCTTGATTAAGAGCAAAAAGAAGAGGATATTGAACATACTCATTCTTGCATACTTGGCATTTCATCTTAAAGGGGTGAGTAATCGCAAATAAAATGTCAATAACATTAAACAACAGTTTCACAGGATGACCAGATATAATCAAAATGCCATGGAAGTTTATTCTTCGGGATCATCAGAAAAAACGAATGAATATGTGTAAAAACCAAATACAAACTGACGTTAACTTACAAAACAAAGGTATCTTCAAAAGATATGCATGCCTAAATAAAACCCAAATATGATATATATATATATATATATATATATATGTATGTATAGAGAGAGAGAGAGAGAGCGATGTGAAAATTGACGCCATTTTATATTTTTAATTTAGCGCATGCGCGTTGTTTGTTTTTGTTGATTACACAGTATAGTAGGATTAGTAGGACACCGTCTGTGAGGAAAAAAAAAACCCCACTATGATGCAATTCACTCCGCCAGAAATTTGAAAACGACATGCAGTACTGCTTGGCATTCGCGCTGGAAGCTCTAATACGAACATTTTAGAGAGTGTCGATTTCAATCTGAGGACAGTGCAGAGGATTCGGAAAGAGTTGGATGGGCCTAATGGTGATTACGAAAGTGTTTGGTGTGATCACTAGTGATGGCCACGTTATATCTCCATTTATCTCCCATAAGGCGTCAGACTGAACACGGAGGCCTACATCAAGTGCCTTGAGAAGGTAGTGTTACTTTGGGCAAGAGAAGGGGGGGGCTAATGGAAAACCGTATGTCTGGCAACAGGACTCTGCACGACACTACAAAAGCAGGAGAACCCAGTCATATCTGTCATATAATTTCTGCGATGACATCACCCCTTACATCTGGCTACCTAACACCCCAGACTGCAACCCACTTGATGTGTGTGGGGCGCAGTTGAGCGAGAGACCAACAAAACTCCTTATAACACCAAAGATGAACTTAAAACAACGATTATGACCGCCCAGAAGAGGTGCAGGAGATTCCGAAGTCGTCTGGAGGCCATGGATGACGCCAATTGCGATTTTATTGAACAGATTTACTCTTCCGTCTTTCAAGATATTTTATGCATTTTTGGTAAAATTTTTGTGTTAGAATGGGATATCAGTGATATTTTCATCTTTGCACAATTTAGACGACAATTTATCCATCGCACACGGCGTGTGTGTGTATATATATATATATATCATATCTTTTCTCTCTCTCGCTATCTATCTATCTATCTATCTATCTATCTATCTATCTATCTATCTATCTATCTATATATATATATATATATATATATATATATATATATATATATATATATATATGTATATATATATATATGTATCCTGATCGATATTCTAAACAATACCCCAAAATTAGGACTTAAGGAACAATAGAATGTCAGACTTTTTGCACAATGCGTTTTGAGAAAAGATAAACACGTTGCCCGATAAAGTTACCGGTCAGAAAAACCTTAAAACATTAGAGTGTGGGTTTGGAAACAGAAAAGTTTGGAAGCAAACGGAGAAAGGGAGATGTGGCAAATAGACAATAAAATCAGAAAGAAGATATATTAGACAGATGTGGAAGATATGACATATCCGAATCTGTATATCAGAGTAATCGAATAATAAAATAAATAAATAAATAAGTAAATAAATAAATAAATAAATAAGTAAAGCCTTTTAAATTACGCGTTCCGTCTAAGTTCATACATATCTTTTTTCACCTCACAGAACTGCAGCGAATACAATGTCGGCTACTTCAAAACAATATAGACGAAAATAAAAATACAAAAAAAAAGCTTAATGTGTTCGGCTCATTTAAACATCTTTTACCCAGCCCGTGAAGGACCACTTTTTGGGTCTCCAGCAGATTCTGGGCGGATGTGACCGACTTGGGCGGTCATGTTTCTTCTTTTCCATTCATGATCGCCTAAAGATAGCTGCGTAATTGAATGTAACGAACCTGACTTGAATTCGAACTCCGTCTGTGACGTTATCCATTTACACTACTCGGACAGCACCTGGTATTCTTAAGTGGTCACCCATTTAGTTCTTGACAAGGCTCGGCGTTGCTTAACTTGTTTTAACGTGATATGGTAGTAATTAACCCTAGAACACTAACCATGGGTATATAGTAAATTTTCCTATTTTTAATTAAAATTTTCAGTACTTGATTTTCTTACCTAAATAATCTTTTTCAGTTTTTATTAATGTTAACTCAGAGTACAAAGTTTGAAGTGCCTGCATGTAAAATATTTCAAATAAAGATTTATATTTACTATTTTTTTTTGATATTTTCAAAATCGGGTATAGGATGGAAAATATATGAAAATGGCCGCTGAAAAGTTGATGCAACACAAAGACAACATACCATATTTAAATAAGAAACGTTGTTATGTTTACCAACATAAAATAAAGATTTAATAACATTAAATAAGAAACGTTGTTATATTTACCAACATAACAACGTTTCTTATTTAAATACCTCGCTGGATCCATCTTGATCCCAACACTCTCTAGAGGGATTGGAAGTCTTTACAATCGACATCATCATCATTATTGACGTATCATCGACCAATTTCTCATGGAAAAAAATTTCCACTGTCCAACTGTATAGAATATATTCAAGAACATACAGTAATGGGTAATTTAAGTTTTGACGGGTACCATTCCTGCCTTGATAAATTCGAAGTTGTCAATCTGATCAAAAAATAAAAGCAATTTTGTATTAAATAAAAATTATCACTTCTTAATTTTATTGGCAAAGCGGTCGTCCATTTTTATGCTATTTATATCCACCGGACTCTTGTCCTCATCTTTATTACCATATTCACGACGTTTCGGCCTTGTACGCTTCGACTTTCTTCAGGTGATATACGTTGGAATTTCGAACCAGACTTTTTATTTGGTCCACTGGGGTAGATTGTTCTAATTCCACGAGCCGTGCCTTTTTTTGATATCTCAATATAAGTTAATTCCTTTTAGTAACTTAACTATCCAAGTTTCGTATTCTACCTGCTGTAGGCAGGTACTGAACTCATAACACTTGGGTCAAGTCACATTTTGAATTACTCAATTAACGCTTTTATCTAGCTGGCCATGAAATTCGAAATTCGAATCAAAATTCCTGAAGATGGCAGGAGCGTACAACGGCCGAAACGTTGTGAATATGGCAATAAAGATGAAGACATCTGCCCGAACGATGTAAATAGTGAAATAAACAACATAATATATCATTTATTTCATAAACTACGTTTCCTTTTTGAAATTGCTTAGGTTTATGTTATGGGAACTTACCCATAATAATAATAATGGACTGTTCATGACATTATAAATACTGCGCCTCTCAAGAGATATCGGGATAGATTGTAAGACGAGGAGAGATAATTTGGAGCATATTGTAAGGACATTGGAATAGTGATACTTGTCGAAACAACAGTTCACTCTAACCCAAACTCGTAGTCATTACTAATACTTCTACTTCTTTGTATAATATTTCTGTTGTAATATATCTTTGTATTCCATACCTGTGTTCGTGTTATTCATTCATTGGTTCTAATCTTGGACCATCACCGTGGTACAAGGAACTTGGACCATAAAAGTTTATTTATTTTCTTTTACTGCATATCAACCTCAATGGGATATTTCATGGCGACAAGATTTTTAGAATAGATTAACTTGTTTAGCGGGATATCAACACCTTATGGGTCATTAAATGCTGAAATGTAATTTTCTTTGAAGCATTTGGTAATTATTTTACAAAAATGTTTTACAGGTAATATTTTTTTTCCAAAATATATTGCTGGTATTTTTACTATAAAAATATATTCTCATACTTTCGTAGTGTTTTGACACCATTTTAGGGTTTAACTATATGCCCACACCTGGGACCCACGGGTAAGTGTGGACCTGGGAACAACAGCAATTAAGAGGTGTTTCTACGCTCCTCAAAACCTCCCGATCAGACGTCTTGCTGCCGTATGTAGTTTATCGTCATGCCCAGGACTCTTGTTGAAATTGTACATTGTTTCTTTCCCTCGGACTTCATGCGTCACTCTCAGTTAGTTTTGGGGGTTTTCTCATAAAGGTGGATCCTAGATTTCCGTGTAGATGTAATAGACTCTCTCCTCTCCCGGGTGGGTATTTATATATCTACCTTTTATATATATTCCTTACTCACGCGTACACACTATGCGCGATTCGATGTTTACATGCCGGGGCAGCCACTGACACCCGGTGTCTCACAGATGTCTACTTTTGGCTCGGAGACCATCTGAAAGCGGGATTTGCAAGCGATCATTTCGTATTTTAGGGACATTTCTAAAGTGATATTTGCTAAATATCTAGTCTGAAAGTAGACAGTCTCAGGATTTCAGAATTGGGTTAACCGTGTTCTAGCTCCGAGTATTTGTTAAGCGAGACAATGGAAACAAAAAGGAGACTTTTACTTGACATTAAGAAGTGGCAGTTGGAATTTCTAAGGTGCGCAATAAAGAAAGAGGGCTTGGAGAATTTGACACTCACAGGACATAGTGAAGTCAAAAGCAGCAGAGGGGAAAATCGGGTAACGGGCTTGCGTAAATGGATGGCGGAATAGCTGACTGGAAGGATTAGTAAGGCGACAAACGTTGCTCTCTGATTCAAAGTGGTGGGGAGACATGATCGCTGACGTACTGAAGGGACATGACAGGCAGGAGAAACAGTGTCAACAATGTGTCTACCAAGTCTTGTTTTGGCCCTGCTCACCATTAATCGATAAAATAAATGGTGCCTCCAAAATACGTAGCCAATGCTAGATTGTGAAAAGAGAACCCCTTTTTCTTTGAAACCTTTTCTGTCCAATGGTGTTACTGAGATCCTTGTATGTATTGAGTTTCCAAACAAACAACAAGGGGGCTTTACTTTTGGAGTATCCAGTGTATTTAACATCGTTATAATTATATTTTAACTATTTTACTAATTTTTTCAGATGATGGTCAATATTTCTTCAAAATGAGAAAAAGAATTAAAAAATGATTTATGCATTGGAAGCAGAACGTGACAGGACAGATAAGGCGGAAAGAAGTTTTTATGATATCAATGAACACTCGTTGCCACTTTTTTGATGTCAACGATAACTCTTTGTCACTTTCGTAATGCTCGTTGTAGTAGAGACTTTGTAATCGCAGGTACAACTATAGCAACGCCGTTGAACAATACTGGTGTCAGACGCCTTCGAATAGCATTCACATTAATAATACTCGCTCGAATAGTAATCCGTGTTCTGAATAGTAAAATAGTATAGTGAACAGAGTAGGGAATAGCGGCCCGTATAGTAATAGAGGATAGTGTAGAAATAGCGATTAGTAATAGAGGATAGACTAGAAATAGCAATCAGTTAGATGCCACGCTACCTCCTATATATGTGTTTCCTTTATGGTCACGTGGTCTACTTAATTCAATGATGGGATCGCCTGTGTTTGCTCACTGGCGATCTATGTTCAAACTCAAGTCTCGGCAGCGGCACTTTATTCCTATATAACAAAAGGCTTAAAAAATGTGATACTCACAAGACAGATTCAAGGCAAGAGGGCAGAGGAAAGAAGCGCGTAACTTAACTAACAAGTTGATGTAAATAGTTGGATTAGGACATATAGTAAGAGCTACAAAGGACAGGAAATTGTGGAGAGCCATGATCTTCCACGTCCTGAAGGCAAACGAAAAAGAAGAAGAAGAAGAAGAAAAAGAAGAAGAAGAAGAAGCCATCTTGTGCAGAATCTCTCTCTCGAGATCTTGAAAAAGACTTGCTTTAATCTGGTGTATTCCATCTTTCTAGCGTTTATTTCAGTTGCCTTGCTTCCAGTGTCTTTTTGGTTGTCGTCTCTTTTATTGTTATATCTTCAGGTTTAGTATTGATTGTTTCGATCGATATGCAGGCATTCCACTTTGCGACTTTCAGAGATATTCGACTTTTACCACAAGGCGTCATGAGTCTTTCCGAAGAATATCCATTTCTTCCCCCCCGGGGTTGAATTGTCTAGTTTGCACGCCAGTCGACGTTTCTCTAATAAAAAGATTTTTTCTATAATCGGATTTAGCAATACTAACATTAAGCCCAAAAAACTCTAGCTTTGAGATTCCCGTTTAGAAACGTCAACAGCAGAGTTCATTTGTTTGTTTATTTTTAAATTATGCCTATTAATAATAACTTGCCTCGTTTCAACTATTTTCAGACATCGACGAATGCAACTCAGACAACACCGGATGTCACAGAAACGCTCGCTGTGTTAACACCTTGGGCTCCTATGATTGTATATGCAAAACCGGCTTCAAAGGAGACGGATTCGTTTGCAATAGTAAGTGATTGATGACTACTGATTTAAATACACTTCACAAATTTTCGAAACTCGGAGGAAAAAAATGTCGGCTTTTTTCTTTTTGTTTAAATGTTATTTTTTAAAAAATTCTTTAACGATATGAAATGATTGAGTGTTCGGTTTTATGAACACACTATACTGAAAACAAATGTCACAGAAACTAAGGACATGATCTCAACTCCTTTAGCCAAGCCGTCGCCAAATGTAATGTCTTTTATTCCTTTGGATCTTGCCGTTACGGCCGAGAGTGGGAACTATCCAGATAGTTCTGTATAGGATACAGGTTCGAATCCTATCGGACAACGAATATTTTCTATGACAATTTCTCTGACATTCAGGCCGGTAAATGTTGTTTAATACTGTTTATTATAAACAGAGCATTTACTTAAATATTTGTATTTCTAAAAATAATGTATAAACATAAAAATTTCTTAAATATATACATATATATATATATATATATATATATATAATCGCGTACTTTATTCTCTAAGGTTGACGTAAAATTCTGTGATGATATCTTCCAGTTTCAACTGCTCCACGCATACACACACACATACATTCTGATATTCTCATAGTCCATATATATATATATTTTTTTTTTCATGGACTCTCCCGTAGATTTCGACATATGAGGATCCGAAAATCTCATTCAGTTTTATGATTCAGTCCAGCTAGGGGTCTACAATCCACAGGTGCATACAACAATACTGTGCAACAGCGAGGATCTCAGGACATAGCAACAAGAATATTTATTGATGCTTTTTCGCCGTTGTCTTTCGTCATTTAACCGGTCAATACGACTGATTTCAATATATATATATATATATATATATATATATATATATATATATATATATATATATATATATATATATATAATTATTATTATCAAGTGATGATGTTGAAGATAAAATAAATGGTTTTAAAAGTTTCAAATTAATTAACGATCCTTCACTAGGGGAAAACATTGTTACAAAAGCTAGAATGACCAATCAAAATCCAAGTATAGGAAGATTCAAATGCTTGACAACGAAATCATGTTACAATACCTATTCAGATCTTTACGGATAATATTGAAAATAATTTATTCTAACCAATAATTATTAAATTATATGATAAAATTTGATATTAAAATTAAAAACTGCCAATTTTAGAAATCCAAATTTAATCACTATTAAGTTTAAAAACTATAAAATTATTGAGAAAAGAAAAAATACATATGTTATTCAATTTATTTCTTCGTTGAAATTACGTCTTCAACATCATCACTTGATAAGACACCGAGGGTGTTGAAACAAAATGGCTATTTTTGTAGTGATTTTATAACATATTTATGCTATAATTTTTTTTTATTATAAATAATAATTATATCTGCTCTACTTTGTATTGAGCACTCATTTAAGAATAGTAATTGTTGGTTATTGAATTCATTCCGTATACACCAATTATATACTTGGATATATATATATATATATATATATATATATATATATATATATATATTATATGATCGAAATAAAAGTATAAAATTTAATATTACAAGACATATTAAAAAAAACAATAAAAAAACAACAACAAGGGGGGAAGCAACCGGTTTCGCTCCTGCTCTTCAGGCTTCAACGGGAGATTCAAAATTAATAAAGAAAAATGTACAATTACAATAAAAGGAATTGGGAGAATATATATATATATATATATATATATATATATATATATATATATATATATAAGAAGGAACTAGAGACAAATGACAGCGAGCCCCAACAAACACTCACGTTGTTTGCACAAAGAAGGCTTGCGGGACCCGATGTAAAGTGCCTCCAGAACCTTCAGATGAAATAAAGAGTGAGACCGGGCTAAGACGGTGAACCAGTGAACATTAAATTTGGCTGCACAATCTCGTATATATATTTTTTTTCTTTTTTAATATGTCTTGTAATATTAAATTTAATACTTTTATTTCGATCATTAAATTTTGTACCTACAAAAAATATCTTTAAATATATATATATATATATATATATATATATATATATATATATATATATATATATATATATATATATGTGTGTGTATGTGTGTAAGGTTCAACGTTATTAAAAAATAATAATAATAATAATAATGTTTTAGAAGAGATAGTTGATAATTACTTCCGTGACAAGTCCGTCTTTTTCCTTGAGTTCTCACGGGCATATATATTCTATTTTGCAGGTACCTGCATTGATGACCGCAACTGTAAAGAGAACGCAATTTGCAACATGCAATCACAACAATGTCAGTGCAAAGAAGGATATGAAGGACCCGCTGATAATTGCACAGGTCAGGCACATCGTTAATAAATGTCTTCTTCATTGGCTTTACTTGAAAGTCAATTGTCAAACAGGCATTGAATTAAACATTCGTTTATTTAAGTCAATTCATATGTACCCTTATATATATATATATATATATATATATATATATATATATATATATATATATATATATATATATATATATATATATATATATAGTGATTCTCAAGCGTAGCTCAGATGTGGCACAAGGCCGAAAGTATGTGGCATCCAGTGAGAATCGAATTCACTACTCAGTCATAATTGTTCTAGCGAGACAAGATTGCTAACCATTACACCACCTCGAGGTGCCTGACGATTGCCTCTAGCATGAAACAGCCTGTCGCCTCTGAGTGTTGACTTCAATGTTCACTTTTATATTTACATACGCTCTATCACTGATATTGAGCACTTTATCCCATGAATATAGCACACCTTAAAACTATATATATATATATATATATATATATATATATATATATATATATATATATATATTATAAATTAATTGATTAAAAATATGCGAAAAAACTATATTTTAAATCAATTAATTTATAATATTAATGCTCTGTAAATTTACATTGAGCATTACACTATTTTGTAAAAATAAAAATATCTATAAGAACACCGGATTATATATCTTACTGTTCTTTCTTTATATATATATATATATATATATATATATATATATATATATATATATATTATAGTAGATTTCACCTCAAGCAAGGCAATAAATCCGTTAAGACACAAGTGGTTATTGGGTGTGGAAGAATTAGGAACAAAACTATTACCAATGAGCGGGAAGGAGGACAGTAGATAGCGATGGATATTGCATTTAAATTTTGGGAGATTAAAGTTGACTCGAAAGTAAGGAGCCGGAAGGGAGTTCCCCAAGCAATGAGAGAAAAAAAAACTGTTAGAAAATTTACGGCCACATCTAGCCATCTCAACTTTAATTTGGTAAGATCTCAACGCACGTCTCGTATCGCGCTTAATTTCAAAAGGTCTAGGTACGATAGCTAAGAACCCAGTCGAATAATTACCCAGAAAGTATTTATAGAAAAGACACTGGTGTTGTATATCCGATTTCCCTTCTGGGTACTCTCTTTTAGTTGACGGGGTCGATTCCATAACGAAGCTGCAATCTTCTCTTTCGGCCCTCTTCTCTCGCTCGGGTGTCGAAAAGTTTTTGCATTCGGAGGTAAAATGAGAACATCAACAAAAGGGATTTTTAAACTTCCTATTTTATTAACACGGTAACGTGTACATTTTTAACTAGCCAGTGGGGTCGTTCTGTCACCTCCACTGGGGAGCAAGTTCCCTGCACACGAAATGAACACGTCTGCATTATTCGACGCGTAAAACTTAACTCCACGAAATATATATCTAATATTCCCACGTTCAGCTCAGTCAATCATAATCGACATCCATATTGTGTCTACCTGCTTACCCCAAGGCCAGCCTCAGAATGTCTGAGCCTAATACACTGCCATTAAAAAAAAAATTAAATGTCTGGAACTAATATTTAACAACAGGGGGGCAACATTGCGGCTGCGGGAAAGTGACCGAAGCCGAGCTGCCAGATCAGGAGCGATAATATTGTTGATTCTTCTTTGGATTTTATCAGGAGGATCAAGGTAAATAGAAAGAGGCACCTGAGCATATGTTATAGCAACATTCTAAGCATGGACGAATAGTAGACTTATAGATATGTCTGATAGATTCTGGAGAGAAAATTGTTACGCACGAAGAGGAAGGAATTATGATATGACTAAACTTTGAAAAGATAGATCATCTGGCAGTGGGATTTGCAAGCAATCATTTGGTATTTTAGGGACATTCCTAAAGAGATATGTGCTAATACCAATTCTGAAAGTCTTAGAATTTCAGAATTGGTCTAACCATGTTCTAGCACCGAGTACTTGTCAAGAGTTGATCGTTTAGAGAAAATGGGTACAAAAAGGAAACTTTTACTTATTTTGTTTTACTGCATATCAACCTCAATGGGTTATTTCATAGCAATAAGATTTTTAGAATAGATTCGCTTGTTTAGCGACATATCAACACCTTATTGATCATTAAATGCTGAAATGTAATTTTCTTTGAAGCATTGGTAATTATTTTACAAAAATGTTTTACAGATATTAGGTTCGTGCAAAAATGATGACGTAATAATGTCGTTTTTTGACGTATTTTTTAAGGTCAAAAAACGACATTATTACGTCATTATTTTTGCACCAACCTAATAATATATTTTTCCAAAATATATTGCTGGTATTTTTTACTATAAAATATATATTCTTATACTTTCGTAGTGTTTTGACACCATTTTAGGCTTTAACTATATGCCCATACCTGGGACCCTAACAAGAGCTACCACCACGGGTCAGGGTGGGCCTGGTAACAACAGCAATTAAGAGGTGTTTCAACGCTCCTCGAAGCCTTCTGATCAGACATCTTGCTGCCGTATGTAGTTTATCGTCCTGCCCAGGATTCTTGTTGAAATTGTACATTGTTTCTTTTCCTCGGACTTCATGCGTCATCCTCAGTCAGTTTTGGGGTTTTTCTCAAAACGTAGATCCTAGATTCCCGTGTAGATGTAATAGACTCTCTCCTCTCCCGGGTGGATATTTATATATCTACCTTTTATATATATTCCTTTTACTCACGCGTACACACTATGCGCTATTCGATGTTTACATGCCGGGGCAGCCACTGACACCCGGTGTCTCACAGATGTCTACTTTTGGCTCGGAGACCATTTGACAGTGGGATTTGCAAGCGATCATTTCGTATTTTAGGGACATTTCTAAAGTGATATGTGCTAAATATCTAGTCTGAATGTAGACAGTCTCAGGATTTCAGAATTTTTCGTGTTCTAGCTCCGAGTATTTGTTAAGCGAAAAAATGGAAACAAAAAGGAAACTTTTACTTGACATTAAGAAGTGGCAGTTGGAATTTCTAGGGTGCGCAATAAAGAAAGAGGTCTTGGAGAATTTGACACTCACAGGACATAGTGAAGTTAAAAGGAGTCGACGTAATTTAACGTAATTCTGGAACATAAAATACAAAAGAATTCATATTAAGTTATGACTTAGTATAAGTTCTAATGTCTACTACTAACTAAAAATATCGGGTTGGTAAAAATTAATTCACTCTTGTCTCAGCAAGCTTTCAGCATCGTTATGTAACAGTAGGTAAAGCAGTTAATCTTGGTACAACGTTCTAGAGGACCAATTAGCCGTGGCCAAAGATTTTCTAATTTATCAATATTATAAATTACAAATTCATTGTAATTTGAAAAAAGTTAGGAGAGAGGATGAAAATAATAGCAATGGAGATAATAGAATAAAAGACAATAAAGATGGAAGTAGAAATGAATAAAGAGAAAAGGAAAACTTTTCTTTCCTATTGCCTTTCCTCCCTCCAGGGACTTCACCAAAATCTAAGGATTTTATTTTGCGACATGTTTTCATAAAGAGAAGTAAAATTACACCTGGGAACAAGATTTTTGATGCCAAAAAACAAAACACATTTTTTAGCTAATTTGATGGTGCTGATTATAAAACTGATCTTAGTTTTTCACGGTTAGCTACCGTTTTTGCTTTACTGAAATTGCACATTTCTGGGACCCCCCCCTAAAAAAAACACAATTGACGATCTTGGCTAATCGCAAAACTTAGTCAATAACGGTCTTTGAAACCTCATCAATGTTTAGTTAAGCCGAGAAATTTATGTCAGCTAGAAGAAATAAACTATTTTTTATAAGAAAAAAGTATTTTTGAGTCAAACATTTTAAAATAGAAGTACCTAATTTTTCCAATTTATCGCCAAAATACAAATTAACTAATAAAATTTATCAGTAATACACCTTTTTAGCTAATTTGATGGTGCTGATTCTGAAAAACTGACCTTAGTTTTTCATGGTTAGCTGCCGTTTTTGCTGTACTGAAATTGCACATTTTTTGGAAAAAAAAAAACAATTTATGATCTTGGCTAATCGCGAAACTTAGTTAATAAAGGTCTTTGAAATCACATCAATTTTTAGTTCGGCCGAGAAATTTATGTCAGATACAAGAAATAAACTATTTTTATAAGGAAAAAGTATTTTTGAGTCAAACATTTTAAAATAGAAGTACCTAATTTTCCCAATTCATCTTCAAAATTCAAATTAACTAATAAAATTTATCAGTCATACACTTTAGTAAACCTGATAATTAAGGTGACATCAAAAAATGAGACCCTAAAATCTTCCGTTTAATATTCATAAATTTATCTCATCACTTTTATCCCTTCACTACGGAAGGAAACCAAACACATTGAGAGCATTTTGCTTTCACAGTTGGAAAGAAACTCCAACGAAAGACATCACAAATGAATGTACATATTCCATACTGATGGAGCATCAAAAGGGATTTAAATAACATTGAACATGACAGACAATCAAGAAAGAGACAAATTTTACCATAGTTCTTATGTTTACGAAGGTTTTATTTGTGCTGTTAGTTTATTAAATGATTTGTTGAAAATCTATGTTGGTCTTGATATATTCAATCGTATTATTTTTAAAGACTTAGGGTCTGATCGTTATTGCAAATATAGTATTTCTCAATAAGCAGACCAGTATTTGTTGGTTTAAATACGAATTGAGAGGTTTTTGCGATTTTATTTTGAGAAATATTGCCATTGGTCAATATCATATATGCAGAAAATGCTTTTGTTTTTAAATGAGGCATTTCTTTACAGCAAAAACGGTAGCTAACCAAAAAAAAGAAAGTAATTTTCAAATTCAGCACCCTAAAATTAGCTAAAAAATATGTTTCGAGTCTCGAAGCTATTTCATTTTTTTTGTTGACCAGTGTTATCGTTAGGTTTAACAGTAAAAACAATTTTAAAAACTATTCTTAAATCTGTGTAAGTTTGGGTAAACTATGGAAGACATTTACAGATTTTGGTTTTCGGGCAGGTTTGCTCGATTTTAGTTGAAAAACATTGACCAATCTGCTAGATACAGTCCGAAGACTCATGTCTATAAATCAAAAGCAAAACAGCTTGATTGTTTTTACATGAGATTGGGTTGTTTTTCTGGGACGTCTACATTCCTTTCGGCCATGTTAAAAGCGGACATCTTGGTTCTTGGTGATAGTATTGTGAACTGCAGTCTTGCTTCAACCAATTTAGACTGAGATTTCATCTTGTGAGTGCCTCTCTCTATATAAAGTTATTATTCAGCCATTTTGAATGTAGGTAATGATTTTTTACCCCCTTTTAATGTCTAAACCCTTGCTGAAAACTATTCTTTCGAACAAAGACACAGCTTTCAAACTAAATAGTTGCACCTACTGAAAGGAATGTTGGGTCACTCTGTCGTGCCAGAAGGTTTTTCTCGTTAGAGTCCATCTTGCACATTTACAAAACTACCATTTGTCTGTGCTGCCATATCTGGTCTAGTGCTCCTGCATTTTATCAAGGTTTTATCTGGTCTAGTGCTCCTGGATTTTATCAAGAACCCCGAGATGTGAAATCTCAAGGTTCTTGATAAAATCCCCAAAAGTTTCTGTAATGTAATCAATATTGACCTGACATCTTGACTTCAGTCTCTTTCTCACCGACGTGAAGTGTGTTCCCTCCGTCTTTTTTGCAGATATTTTCATGGTTACTGCTCTGAGGAGATTTTTCCATGGCGCCCCGACTATATGAATTTAAACGTGCTACTAGATTGGCATCTCGTTCCCACCCTTTTATTGTTGAATTAGTTAAATGTAACCGTCACTTTTATCCAACAGTTTTTCTTGCGCTTCCCGCCTGCGGAACTCCCTTCCGTTTCCTTGCTTCTCTGATAACTACAATCTTCAAAAATGTAAATGCAACGTCAATCGCCATCTTCTTGAATCCCATTCATCTTTTATCCTTTCATCAATCCCCACTATACCTAGTCTTATCTCTCACTTTCACGCTCTGTTTATTAGTAGTATTCATGCTTTGCTTGGGATGAAATGATTACAAAAAGTCAAAACTCTGTGTTGTGTTTCAAACTTGAAGATAGTGATTTTAATATCAGTTTGTTTCAATTAACAAAAAGTGAAAGGTGTAATATCCTGCAATAATAAGGAAATATATATTTTTGTAACACGGTCTTAAAGTTTTGGCCAAACAATAAAAAATGCTTGAACTCTTTGAATCTGTAGATATTTCATAATCTTCCAACGAGAAATAAACATCATGAATTATTTATATATTTTAGAAACATAGGAAAAAAAATTATTTTCAATATTTATAATCGGACCAATATCCTAATCTTGTTGATATCAAAATGTTTCGGTCGTTGATCTCACCTGCCTTCTGTCTGTTAATCCTGATAATCGTCCGACAATTTCCCACAGATGCGGATTAATGTTTTCTTTACACTGCCCATGCTCAGGAACATCACTTCCTTTTAGTTCTACTGAATTTAAACTACCTAGCCTTGGGTTTGAACTCACAGTCACTCTGCCACTAAATTAACGCTAATCCTTGAGGCAAATTTCTCAAAAGCACCAGAAAAGTCGGTGGGTATATAAATCAAAATGTTGTGATTAAAGCAACGAAAGAGGAAAATATTCAGCCAAATGGTTCGTGGAATCATCGCAATACATAGTGATGGCTCTAGGGTTGTTGGCACCCCGGGCAAGTTGAACTTCGGCGCCCTTGCAAGTATAATTTTTTCAAATTTTCACAAGGGGAAAACTGAAAATCTAGAAAAGCGAGTTTATTACAATATACGGATTAATACAAACTGGAGAAAACTTTCATTGCATAAAAACATTTTTTCTAGCCTTTAGATCTGCATCTCTTTTCATGGCGCGTTCTATAGCTATCTTCTTTACAAGATCATTTTGCATTGACAGAATAGCCAAAGAATTTAATCTGTCTTGAGTCATGGACGCCCGCAAGTATGGTTTTATCAGCTTTTGTTTGGAAGATCCAAAACACATGATATGGCGCCATGATCACGCCCTCAGCCTTGATGAGCCCCGAGTTAACAATGCCTTGAGCCGGTCCTGGAAATACGTAATCCAAAATTTCTGACCGGATTAAATATTAGACCCTTATGCAAATGAATTGTAACAACCACTTTAATTTTCTTTTTTTTAACCATACGGTCAGTTTTAGACCCAATGGAGTTACAGGTTATAAACGATTTCAATTTTTTCCTCAAATTTGGTCATTTGTAGTGATGTGCAGTAATATGAATCTATTTTCGAGGTGTATGATCAAATTTGTTTGGCCTTGAAAAATATTGCATTATCCGTGATTGTATCAGATTTTCATCACGCCCAGACACTATTGTCTCGACTGTCGATTAGTTGTCCTATGGCCATTGTCTGCGGTGGACGTTACTCCAAGGAAGCGTACGAAAATTGTAACGTTGCACGAACGCACTGGCAAACCCTAACATTGAGCAAATCAAAGTACTATAGAATGGCTCGGAAACTCTCCTGATTTAAATCCAGTCAAGAATCTGTGGTCAATCTGCAAGGGGCAACTACGTGGAATGGACATATGAAGTACTGCCATGTGCATTGGGTCATGTTTCATTGGAAAAATACGAAAAGAAAGTAAATAATAACGGAATTATTCGTTTTGTTTCAATTAATTTGCCCAAAAGTGTACCACTAGTTTTCGTTATCATCTTTGATTTCCAAATGTGAATTATTTTCTATTTATTATTATTTTCCTTAATTTCTAGACATCAACGAATGTAAAAAGTCGGGCTATTGTGACAATAACGCCATCTGTACCAATCTACCCGGATCTTATAACTGCACATGCAAACCCGGTCTTTATGGTGATGGTCACTTTTGTTCTCGTAAGTATTATTACTTTACTAGTCTGCCTCTACCGTCAGGGGTCAGCTCGGTCGGGTTGACATTTATTAGATTTCACAGGTAGAAAATAATCCAGCCTTTTCGGTTCGCTAATACCTTGCGAAAATATTTCAATTCTACATAGCAATAAAATACATGGTGTCCACCCCCAAATTGACACAATTAAAAATTAAATCTACTGAATAAACTACATGTCCTAGCCTTCATGTTGAACAATAAAAATTTATTCAAATTCGAACAAAGTACTCAAAAAGATGTCGATTTTTTAACCGATTTCACAAACTTCACAAATGTTCAATGTGCTTACCACCTGTGACACGATACGCATCAAGTCTGTAGTCCAGCTCCTGCCAAACACGTTGTAGCACGTCTTGCGTAACATTCTTCAGCGCCTCCACCTGCTTAAGTTTCTCTAGGCTTGTAGGAAGAGTGGGTATATAGACCTGTCCTTTCACATAGCTCCATAGAAAAAATCGCAAGGTGTCAAGTCAGGTGAACGTGGTGGTCATTTCAAAAGCACATTGTCATTATCACTGGCACGCCCGATTCAGGTTCTTAGTAGAGTTGCATTGAAATATGTCCGCACTGAGGCGCTGGAGATGTTGATGTGTATATGTAATGTGTATATGTGATGTGTATCTGTTGATGCGTGTATATGATGTGTATATGTAATGACAGGTTTTGAATGCCCGACCAGCACTAGGGTGTGCACATCCAGGTCGGGCCTGACAAGGCATATGATTGGGCACATTAGAAGTGATGATGATTAAAGTCAACTTCCACTACCCGGAGTTGATTTGATATGCCACATATGTGACAAGAAATGCAGATCGATGGCTGGCTTTATGAGCCAACGTCGTTCACATAACCGATGAATGCAGTGTTGTGGGGGGGGGGAGCTTAACAGAAAAGGGGTTGAAAATAATTTGTCACCCATAGGGACGCAAACACGTTTTTGGACTCTATCGAGACTGGACTGAGCAGATCCCGTCCAAATATAGCAGCCTGACCTGGTTCCCGTTAAGGATAGCACGCAGAGTCAGGTACTTACTGGAGTCGTACAAGGAGCCGACCTTTTTTCCTGCGTCTTTAGCAATGGATCGAATGTAAGGTGTTCCACTCGAGGTCTGGGTTGAGTTTAAGGCCCAATAGTTGCTCATGACACGTCGCTTCCTTGAGGGAACATGTATTCCTCGTCATGTTAGAAAAACGTAAAAATCGTAGATACAAACAGAATAAGTGTATAATTTTCGGTGTTCAATTCTTCAGTTCAATTCCTCAGTTCAATAAATTACCTTTTCATCGACTCGCAGTTACGTAAATATAAATGTACCGGGTGTTACAGCAAAATTGACCAGATGGTGTTACAGCAAAATTGACCAGATGGTGTTACAGCAATAATTGCCCACCCTAGAAATATCTGAAAAACACTAAACTAATCGAGTTTTTTTCCAGGTTTTCAGACAAGACTTTAGCCATCTTGACATCATATTTCGTAAGAATCACTGAAAAACCAATTGAGTTATTCCCCTAGAAATAAAACAGGGTAAAATCTTTTTGTGTCAGTGACACTATGTCTTCTCAACTGAGCAATAAAAGGAAAAAGATCACTCAGGCCTTCAGTAATGTCAGTCAACATTCATATTGTGGCTTCCATCTTCACAGTCCATTCAAGAACTATCAAGAGAACGGCGAATAAGTTTAAAAAAGAGAGAACAGTAGAGAGGAAAACTGGATCAGGAGGTCAGAGTAGGAAGAGGGATCATCATTTCAACTTAGAGCTAAAGATATCAATTAGAAAAAAATCCTACTCAATTCATAAGAAGTTTGGCACGTGAGAGAGAAGTTTCAGTTATGGCGGTCCAAAGAGCAGTAAAAAAAGTTTTGAAAATGTAATCGTACGTAAAACATGTGAGGCAACTTGTTACTCCAGGACAGAAAGTTAGAAGATTAGAGAGGGCGAAGATCATCTTGAATAAGTTGGAAAATGATCTTGGAATTATATATATATATATATATATATATATATATATATATATATATATATATATATATTTGAACTTTATTTCAATACTTCATGAGCTTTCGACCCTTAGCTATGATTGATTAATGATGAATATGTCATTTTCGTTTATGATCGATTTCATCACGATTCGTCTGTTAAGCTTGGGGTGTAATTATACATTCTTATTGCTCAAAATAGAGTCCAATAGTGTTATAAAAAGCTCGGAGAATGCCAGTAAGATATCTTTAATCATTTCTAAGATACAACGGTTCAAAGCTTAATCTAAAAATTGGACAATTTTGCCGTTACACGATTTGGACAATTTTGTTGTTACACCCCGTATATGAAATTTATTTTTAGTGGATACACGTATGTGAATTGACATTCGTGTCTTTTTTTTTAATTTTATTAAACCGTAAGGTTAGTATCAACTGGCCTAGATCGAGAAGTCCCACTAAAGAAGAATGTACCCCTTGACAGGAATCGAACTTTTATTTCCTTTTTTCCATCTGGGGAATCGCTCACATACGTGTTCTTAACAATTAGGACACAGGAGACCGTCATGAAAAGACAAGCCCCAGTTACCTAGTTAAGTAATGCACACCTTCCGTTAACATTGGGGTTTCACGACAGTCAGTCATGGCTTAGTTAGTAACAGCACGCTTCCGCTAGAGAAGTGACATCCCTGATGGAAAAAGAAAGCACTACTTTTGAATCATGTCGGGAAGTATTTCTCGTTCCAGGGTGGTTGATATTAATTTCCTTTTCTTAAGAAAAAAAAGGGGTGCCACCTCAAACACATGCACCTTTAAAAATAATGCCTACAGTAATAAAAGATAACGCCTACTGTAATAAAAAATAACGCTTACAGTAATAAAAAATAACACTTATAGTAATAAAAGATAACGCCTACCGAAATAAAAGATAACGCCTACAGTAATAAAAAATAACACTTATAGTAATAAAAGGTAACGCCTACCGTAATAAAAAATAACGCTTACAGTAATAAAAAATAACACTTATAGTAATAAAAGGTAACGCCTACCGTAATAAAAGATAACGCCTACCGTAATAAAAAATAACGCTTACAGTGATAAAAAATAACACTTATAGTAATAAAAGGTAACGCCTACCGTAATAAAAGATAACGCCTACCGTAATAAAAAATAACGCTTACAGTAATAAAAAATAACACTTATAGTAATAAAAGATAACGCCTACTGTAATAAAAAATAACGCTTACATTAATAAAAAATAACACTTATAGTAATAAAAGATAACGCCTACCGTAATAAAAATTAACGCTTACAGTAATAAAATATAACACAAATAGTAATAAAAGATAACCCCTACCGTAATAAAAAATAACGCCACCCTAATAAAAAATAACGCTTACAGTAATAAAAAATAACACTTATAGTAATAAAAGGTAACGCCTACCGTAATAAAAGATAACGCCTACCGTAATAAAATAACGCTTACAGTAATAAAAAATAACACTTATAGTAATAAAAGATAACGCCTACTGTAATAAAAAATAACGCCTGTTAAAACAATTCCATTGAAAATTAAACGGATATAAATAATAAGATTTTTTGCGTTCAGGAACTCCAAAAACGTGTCAGATTGTCATTGACAAGAATCCGAGAGCTCAGTCAGGTTCTTATGAAATTGATCCAGATGGAGCCGGACCTTTGAAGCCCATAAAAGTAAGTCTACAAATCTATCATTTTTCATAACTCATCAATTTCAAACATTAATTTTCTAATTTTCACATACTAACTTACAAAGATGAAACACTACACTTTGATTTACACTATTTACATGTAGATAATTGTCCCCGCTTTCTTTGTTCTCACAAGCGTTTCGGCCGTTGTGCTCTTAATGCTTTGCTTAGCTTTCCGAAGGCATCTTTCGTTATTCCAATTTCGATATCACATTTTCCATCCTCTGTTGAAACACCAAATAGATATTTATATTTTCGTACTTGCTTGATTCTGACGTCCCTAATTTGTAGTTCGCATCTTGGGTTGTCCCTTTTGCTGACAACTATACATGTTATCTTCTTACAGTTGATGTTTAATCCCTTCTTCCCACTTTCCTATAATTCCTTCTGTAAGAGTCCATGTAGCTTCCTTTCAGTGTCTGCTATCAACACTGTGTCATCTGTATATCTTATGGTAAGATTGTGGCTGACAATAATTTTATGTCTGTTGCCTATATTCATATGGTCCAATTTTTAAAACATTACTCGAAACAGAGGGTATAGTCTAGTAGACTATTACAACATAATCTTGCCGAACATATATAAATCCTCTCTGCAAAATTTGCGCATAGAAACCTTTGACAGATTTTATGACGAATATTTAATATTTTCATATTAAAATTAGTATTAATCAACCGATATTTGTACAATTTTTAGGAGATATTCATATGTATAATGTGAATGTATAATTATAATATCAGCGGTTTTATTAGAAATATTTATAACTTTACATGCTTGTGAAATTTTATTATGCAACTTGAGTGTTTATTATTGTTGTAACCTAGAGAAGGTTACTGAATAGAATAATCAAATGAAGGTTGGTAATGAACGATAATACTTAGGACAAGAATAACACATATAAGATTCGCCAGCGGCGCGTAGAGATAGTAGTCAACTGCTAGAAGTGAATATAAAAAATGAATCTCCAGCTGTAGGATATCTAACAACTGTCCCACGCGGGGAGATGTTGCACAAGGCCGAATTTAAAGTGGGGTATCCGAACCACAATATGTAAACGGGAGATAATTTTCAAATCTTTTATATGACAAATTCATTTTGCTATCTCTTTGCTTCGGTGACTCGTGCGTATTACTGCAAACGTTGTAAACTAAACAGTAAATGTGCGTAGCCTCCATGCATGGTTGCATGCCTAGTGAAGTGGAAATCAGTTGAACGTCTATTGGAGCTCAAGTTCACTCTAGATCTCAAACAGAACTCCTACAGACAATCCGGCTTACGAGCACATCACGTTGAAACACCCGCCTCTGCACAATAAGTTAAGCAATGTTTTACGGCATATCAACCTCAATGAGCCATTTAATGCCGAAAAAAAAAAATTTTCCTGGTAATATTTTTGTTTTATCAAAAATCTATTTCTGCTAATATTTTTTTCAAAAACGTATTGCCGGTAATAGTTTTTTTCTTCAAAAATTTATTTCGGGTAATAATTTTTTTACAAAGTATTTCTGGTATTAAAACCTATTTTTACATTTTCATAATGCTTTTTACCTCAGTTTCAGGGTTAACTATTTGCCCATAGCTGGGATCCTAACAGGTGCTACCACCCCGGGTCAGGGTGGACCTCGGAACACCAGCAATTAAGAGGTGGCTCCACGCTCGTCAAAGCCTCCTGATCAGAGGCCTTGGAGTTGCACGTAGTTTATCGTCTTACCCTGGACGTGTATGTAGTTCATCGTCATACCCAGGACGGGTTAAGCAATGTCGAGCCTGGTCAGTACCTAGATGGGTGAACGCTTGGGAATACCAGGTGCTGTAGGCTTGGATTATCCATAATGGCCAGGAATTTATTAATCGGAGAGCCATGTTCCAATTTCCAATTGTATTTTTCCAATTTTCGAAAGGGTAACATGTTGTATAGTGCGATTCAAATCGTGGATAAACAGTCCGAAGTTCATATCTGTTTTGTTGTTTTGAACACATGCAAATAGTTTTTATGCACCCTAATAACTTAGACTATAGTCATTATTTTGGACACTTTTTTCACACTGAGAGAGAACGACCAGACTGAGTTCAGTTTTGTTAGGAGCTTGACAAAGGCAGCGTTTAGAAAGAAAGCGCATAAAGACCTTACCTGTAGGTATCTATATGAAGGGGAGCTGAGTAAATGTTATCGGCGAGGCGTGTTCAAATTGCGGCCTTGGCTTTTGGGTTCACTTTTGAGATATTACCAATTTCGAAAAGCTTGAAACAATTTCTTATTCCCAACTCTCCAGATGTAGGTTTAATAGCAGGATAGACTAGTTTGTCTTGCCTTAGGATTGCAACCAATTTGCGAGAAGGAAAATTATAAATTCAAAACCATGAAGAAGTTTATGGAAAAATAATCCACTGTGTTTTTTCTTTTTTCTTTTTTTTTTTTTTTTAAACATTTCACCCCAAGCAAGGCGGGAAGCCACTAGGACGCAAGGGGTTACAGAAAATTTAGAGCAAGATCAGATAGGAGTGATAGAAGAAAGGATGAGGGTAGTGGATAGATCAAGGCAACTGGAGATGTCGATTGACATTACACTTGAATAGCTGGAGATTATAGCTCATAGGGAAACAGGAGAAGTGAAGGGAGTTCCACAGGTGAGAGGTGCGAGACATGAAGCTATTAGAGTAGAAGAGACGACTACATTTTCCAAAATGTCATCTCACTTCACAGATATAAATTGAAAAAGAAACTGTGGAGAGCTTTGAGATCCTAAATTCTGAAAGGACAGACTTTAACAAAAAAAAAAACAATTAAAAAATAATCGACTTTTGCACGAGTCTATAACGTGATTCGTGCTTGCTATGAGTTTTTTTTTCATCATTTCTTTGTTTTTCCAGGTGTACTGCATAATGCGTGGTAACCTGGGAATTACTGTGTTCGAGACGACATTCCGAATGTGGATTAAATTCGGCACACAACAAGTGACGTACAATGTAGACATTGCCAGCATACGAAGTGTGGGAAAGAATTCTGGATTTTGTTACCAACACATGTCGTAAGTTTGTTTCTTATTCGACTAACCGAAAGCTATTTATCTGTTTCATTACTAATGACGATCGAGTGTCACTGATGAAAAGCAATAAAAATACGGTTAGAAGAAATATTAACAAAAATCTAATAATTGACAATAATTCATCTAAGAATTTCGAATGGTATTACAATTATTACTAGTATATTTAAACGTTATTTTTAGTAGAAACTTGTATTTGAGTAGGCACTCCGTTTATTTATTAAAGAGTATTTATTTCCAGCTAACGGTCTGATAAATCTTTGCACTCTACGGCAGGATTTAAACTTGCGGGACGCACGCCTTAACAAACTTGGCCACGAAGAGCAATCGGTAAGGCGAGGCCAAATTTAATGCCATCAAGCGAAATTCTTCCTGTAATAAATTTGGCCTCTTCGTAGTCAAATTAATTTAGGTGTACCGGGTTTAACGGTAGCTTTCTCTGACCTGAGGGACGCAGGTTCAAATCCTGCAGGAGAGTGCATATTTTTCTTTGATAAAATTTCTTGAACTTTCGGGCTGGTAGATGAAAATAAATCAATATACTGTTTAATAAATAAACGGATTTCTTACTCAAATACGAGTGTTCACTAAAAACAACGTTTAAAGTGATAAAAATTGTCGGCTTAATGCAAAATCCAATAGTATGAGTAAACATACGTCGCAGAGTATGAGGAGTTCGGGCGAATTAGGAATTACCGCTATATGGATAGATTTAAATAACTGTAGGTAAGTGTTTTTCGTAGCCTAATAGGTAAGGAAAATACCCCCCAAAAAAAAAAAAAAAAATAAAAAAAACTCCGAAGAAACCTTACATTTCTGAAGATAAATTGATATCTACGTTGACGGCAATAATATTTACTCCTGCCTTAATAATAGATCCGGCATCGTTGACAAAACTAACCTGGCCGTAGGCTCCGAGAATAACCTCCAATCTATGGTTGACTGGGGCAGGAAATGGCTTGTAAACTTTAATGCCTCTAAAACGAAACAGCTCTCAGTTACCCACTAAAGAGACCCCCCTGCTTCCCATCTGGTTGGCTGATGCCAAACTCTACGAGAGCGTCTCTCTTCCCCTGATTGTTCCCTCGCTGTCCACTGACCTGAAGTGGAACAACTACATTGAATCTATAGCTTCATCTATCGCAAGGAAAGTTGGTTCTCTGTGTCACACCAGAAGGTTTTTCACGTCTGAGTCGATCCTTCAAATCTATAAATCAACCATTCGTCCTTGCATGGAATACTGCTGCCATATATGGTCTGATACTACCACTGTTCATCTCGAGGTCCTCAACAAAATCCAAAGACGGATATGCAACGTTGTTGGTCCTGATCTGGCATTCGGTCTGCAGTCGCTATCTCACAGACCTGTTGTGGCTTCCCTCTGCCTTTTCTACAAGTACTTTCATGGCAACTGCTCTGACAAGCTACTTTCACTGGTTCCCAAACAGCATGAATGTAAGCGTACCACTGGGTTGGCATTTCGGTCCCACCCTTTCACTGTCGAAACGGCTAAATGTAGCCATCTCTTTACTCCAACAGCTTCTTCTCTCGCACCTTCCGTCAGTGGAACTCCCTTCCTATTACTTGTTTCCCTGATAGCTATAATCTTCAAATATTCAAGTGTAATGTCAATCGACATCTTCTGATGCCTTGACCTTGACCCCTGTCCTTCTCTTTATCCTTTTCCCAGACACTCCTCTTTATTCTTACTTTCATTTTCTCTAACTCCTTGCGTGCTAGTGGCACTCCCGCCTTGCTTGGGGTGATTTTTTTTTTTTTTTTTAAAGGAGACTATTTTTTATTTCCGACTAGTAATCTGAAAATAACAAAAAAAAAAAACAACAAAAAAACCAACAAAAAAACCAACAAAAAACCCCCCAACAAAAACAAACAAAAAACAAAAAAAAAGAAAGAAATAATATGTGTTAATAAGTAATTAATAACTGACATAGAATCGGAAATAAAGTGTAAGATGTTAATGAGGTTCGAACTCAGGTCTCTTTCATATCAGGGAAGCAAGGTAATCGCAAAGCTACGATAGAAAAGCAAACCGCAAAACAAAATGAAGGTAAATACATGTGGAAATTAATAATAATGGTTAACAGTGATTTCTATAATAAAATCCAGGTGAAAGGAACTATATATATATATATATATATATATATATATATATATATATATAAATGACTATGAAAATAAATGCTAGTCAAAAATGAATAATAATAGTTGACAATGTTGCATCTAATAAAAAATGAACATTAAAGTATATACTAGTCAAAATTAATAATAATGGTTGACAATGTTGCATCTAAGAAAAAATGAAAATAAATATTAATTAAAATTAATCATAATGGTTGACAATGCTTAATCTAATAAAAGTGATGAAAGTAAATATTTATAAAAAAATTAATAATAATGATTGACAATGCTTCAGCAAATAAAAATGCCGATGAAAGTAAATGTTAATCAAAATTACTAATAATGACTGATAATGCATAATCTAATAAAATGCCGATGAAAGTTAATTGTATTCAAAATTAGTAGAAATGATTAGCAATGCTTCACTTAATAAGCTAATGACGATGAAGGTAATTATCAATCAAAAGTTAACAATGCTTCAGTAAATAAAAATGCTATTGAAATTGTTAATAATAATAAACAATGATTCATCTAATAAAAATGATGTTGAAAGTGAGTTTCGATTTCAATGCTTCAATCACTACTTATAGTACTTAACCTTACATTTCTTACTGATGTATACGGTTCTGCCGAGAAGCCAGATAGATTCTTTAAAAACAGACTTCGGAGTATTAAAAAAAAAACGCCTTGTCTTTTATTCTATTCAACGGAGCCCTTCCTGTGAAGGTTGAAGTATTATTGATTTACTATTGTGTTGTCAAGAAAGTCCATATCGATTTTTTGTCGTTCATGCTCCCACACGTTAGAACACGTTAAATTTATCGACAGATACAATATGCTTACATTTCCGATTACAAGACACTTCAACCCTGACTTCACTTCATAAACCATGAAACTCGTGTTAGTTTATTTGCCAAAATGATTTCATGATGTTATCAAAAAGGGGAAGGTAACCCGAGCGCGTGGCACATTTAGGTAAGTGCCTCAAAACCATGTCACAGGTTGACCTTGGCTTGTGAGTGAAATTAGGTAGAGGAAATCGTTTGAAGACTTCGATGGTTTTGCCATTACAAAGTTACATGTCATGTACTGGCCTTGTTCAAGAAAGTCACAAGTCATACCTTAACCCTCACCCCACATTGAAACAGGTTGCGAAACAAGGTCGATTTTTAACATGGGTGCACGAGTGTTTCCACTCAGGCTGCTGGTCATAGATTTTCTTGTCTAAGCGGGTCATAGCCGATCTTACCATCGTTACTTAACAGCTGTCAGGCAACGGTGTGAGGAGAAGGTAAGGGAGAAGAGAAGGCCCCCGGCACAGAACAGATACTACAATCTCAGCATCTACTCCGACGACAAAACCCTCTTCTCCTCCTCTTTCACTCCCTCCAGAAGAATCCAGAAGGAGAGACAAGATTGTGACACAAGGTCTGTTTTAAATGTGGGGATCCGAGTGTTTCCATTCGGATCGTTGGTCTACGCTTGTCTAAGCTTGTCTGTGCTAGTCATAGCCGGTCATACCATCGCTACGTAACAGATGTTACGCAAAGGTGCGGGGTGCGGAACACAAGGGAGGAGATAAGGCCTCCGGCACGGAACAGATACTACAACCGCAACATCTACTCCGACGGAAAATAAAAAACCCTTCACTGCTCTCCTCCCCTGCTAACCCCTCGAGAAGAATCCGAAGGAGCGGCCCCTGGGTTTTATTAGTCGTCCTGGCAGATGGGCGAGCCCGGAAACATTTCGAAGCTTGCCTTGTTATGCAAGAGAAACATCTATCAAATTTCATGTCTCCATTGCAGTTAAAATTCAGTATCAGGAATTCATTAATGTCCCCGGTTCTATCAAGGGTCAAAATGTATCCTTGAAAAGCCAACAGTAAAAAAAAAAAAAAAAGGGAAAAACCTTAAATCTATTCTGTCTGAGCATAATTATAATAGGATTGTTTAATTGTTTAGATTTTTTAAGCAATAAACATTGCCGTGGAGTGAAGGTAGTTAAAATAATAGCGGTGTCAATGGAAAATCAAATTGCCTCTCTATTTTTTATTAGCGCGAAGGTCCAAGTTTTCCGAAACGTTTCCGTTTGTTATTAAACTTAACTCTAAAGCTTAATTTCATGAACACAACGTTAAATTATTTATAATTCTCATTATATTACCATCATTATTATGTATTAAATCTTATGCTCCCCCAGATCTCAAGTAGAACACATATATACGGTACATCACTAAAGATGCTGGATTGATTGATTTTTTCAATTTATCAACCTTTTCCAGGTTATTTAATACCAGAAAATATTATTAGATCGTAAAAATATTTTGGCGATAATAATGATTTTCACTGATACAAATTCTACTAATTAACCTATAGCTGGGGGAGAAGAGGTGGCTTCATATCTTTCTAATGTTTTTTTTTGCGCGTAAGTGAATATAACGAACTCCAATGTAATTGAAACGCAGCTCTCGGTTGTTCCTATTCCGTTATCAATTACATCACCCGTTCATCTAAGGTTAAAAGTATCTGGTATTCCCAAGAGGACACCCATCCAGATAATGATCAGACTCGATGTTTCTTAATTTTGGTGATCGTACGCAAACTGGTGTTTCAACGTGATATGGCCGTAAGCAGTGTTTGTGTATCTGCGTGTGTTTCTTAATATCGAGGCAAAAGAAAAAAAAAACGTGCTTAATAAAATGTCTACACCTTTGATATCTGATTCTTTTGTTTCCAGTTATAAAAGCCGCCGTTCGCCTCTTTTCGATGGTGGCACGTACTGGACAGATGGAACCGGAGGAAAACAGTTTAACTGGGGCGGAAGTAATGAAACCGGAATGGTCAGTATCTATCTATCTATCTATCTATCTATCTATCTCTATATGCTTGTTTATCTACCTATTTGTTATAGTCTTGGCGCATGTTTATCTATCTATTATACTCTCTAGAATTATCTATCTATCTATCTATCTATCTATCTATCTATCTATCTATCTATCTATAGTCTCTAGGCTTGTTTATGTCTCTCTCTCTCTCTCTCTCTATCTATCTGTCTATCTTATAGTCCCTAGACTTGTTTATCTATCTATCTATCTATCTATCTATCTATCTATCTATCTATCTAGTTAGCTAACTAGGTATCTATCTTAGTTTCTTTCATGGTCTTCTTTTTCTACACTGCCTGCAAATCGTACAGCGTCTCCCTGAAGAACGATGCTGATTGAAGGCAGTTTTGTGCATTCCAGGCGGTAGTAGAGATACTGACAAAGTTTTAAAAGTTTTCGGCCTTCATGTGACAGAGTCAAACCCATACACAATCTGTGTCGTCGCTTCAGACAATGACAATACTATTTAGTGAAGCGAAAAATGTCAAATCTAAGCAAATGTCATATGACGGGGTCGCGAACTTCGGATTGTGATCCTTCGAGAAGCAAGATGTTCATTTCGTGGCATTGCTGCGCACGATGTATCAGTGGTGATTGGATATTAACTGATGTAATGAATATGCATACACCTGGGTTCCCCCTCACAGCAATATGATTGGCTGGTGTCAGCCATAAATACAGACTGATGTGGAGGTACATGGACGACGCCTATAGTTTTCGCCTATTGCCTATGCCTATTGCCTACCCCTACGACGACGACCCGTCCATTATGGTTACCTGCTAGATTGTCCTACTCGGTTACAGTAGTCCAAAACCACTTTGCTACTTCGAACAAATATATCCCTTTTCGGGACATTAACAAACGCAGTCAAATTCCTACACCGGTAGACCAGTTTCTGGACGGCCACAATCGAGGCAAAGCAGTAATGGCAGACTGCACGTTGTCCACAGCACAGATGAGTGCGAATGCTGTCTCAAAAATGTCACCACGCATATGTTGGGAATCTTTTACTTTTCGCACGACTACAAGTAGGCATAAATCTATCATCAATAGACAACATAGAGAGGGACGTTATTACTGATGTCGCGGGACGCTCGAATGTCACTGTGTAATATTCAGGGATGAGAGTATATTCTGCTTTCATGTAAGTGATTGTCATTTGAGTGTGCAACGTAGAACTGCATTATGACATATACCAGGAGCGCAATCCCTAGAATAATGATGTAATGCAGTGCTTTTCAAACTATATGATATGGTGAACCGACATTTTTTCTCAATGTAATATTTCGTGGTAATATTAATTTATACCGGAAACTATATGCATAATGAATATAATAAAAGTTGTCTTTTTTATCTTCCATTTATTTTGCAAAAAAAAAAAAATAATTCAGTATCAAAACATATAAAAATTAATAAATAAAAAAGCTTCAAATCATTCTTTACCATAGCCTGCACACTAACCATGTACCGGTGGCTGATGGTTCGTGTACCGGCATCGGTCCGCCGACCACCACTTTGACTACTAGCAGTGGTTTACCTACTTCACGCCGCTGGCGAGTATTGTATTTTGTTGATGTTATAAAGATTACCATTTTCATTTCCAACCTCCGTTTTGGTTATTCCTCATTTAGTAACCTTTTCTAGGTTACAACAATAAATCAGTTATAACATATGCAGTATAGGAGATAAACAAATTGAACATAGAATAGACTGCACTAAGGATAGTTTTGCTCAATACCGGAAGATGCTACTAAACCAAAACATTAACCTAAAAATTCAAGTCATGCTTTTAATTGGCCTTGTCAGATAGAGATTTCAAATGGGTGTCATGCATGACACTAAATAATCAGATATATCCAAACTGCCAGCTGTATATAACCGCCTTCTCAGATAAAAATGATTTCGAACGAATGAAGTATGTAGGTTTTAGTGAGGATCCTTCTTCTTCAAACCTCATGGACGGGTGCAACAGAATCACAAATATATAATAGGAACGACATAAAAACCACATCACTTGAGGATCTTCAACAGTACCAACGAAAAAAATGAATAGCTCATGTAACTCCAAGAGGAAAATAATGATATAATCAAAAGGTTGAAGTCTCCAGTAATACTGGAAAGAGCGATAACAGCTACTGGACTTGAGAAACATATTTTCCTGAAAAGGCTAGGAAGGTTGTATCTGTCTATAGTGGAAAGAGCTAGGAAGGTTGTTTCCATCTATAACTGAAAGAGCGATAACAGCTACTGGACTTGAGAAACATATTTTTCTGAAAATGGAAGTCTCCATCTATATTAGAATGAGGGATAACAGCTATTAGATCCGAGAAACATATTTTCCTGAAAATGCTAGGAAGATGGTATTCATCTACTCCGGAAATAGCGATAACTATAGACAGATAGCTACCACTCGAAACTGGGTTAAAAATGTATGAAATTATAAAAATCCATTTTTATAGTAAAAAATATCACCAATCCATTTTTATAGTAAAACTATCACCAATCTATTTTTATAGTAAAAATATCACTAATCCATTTTTATAGTAAAAACATACCAGCGATACATTTTCGTAAAATAAATAAATAAATAAATAAATAATACCTGCAATACTTTTTTGTGAAAAACAAAAATATTGCCAGCAGTGAATTTTTGAAAAAAAAAAGCTTTTTTGTAAAATAAATTACTAGTACTCCTGAGAAAATTAAATTCCGTCATTAAATGATCAATAAGATATTGATATGATTCTAGACAAAAAAATAAGATAAAATACAGCTATTCGATTTACTATCCATTCGTATGCAGACGGTTTGCTCTAAATGAGGTTTAGAAATACTTCACGTTGTAATAAAAGAAATTTCCCCAGTTCTCCACTTTTCCTTCTGTCTTTCTCCTCCCTATTCTTTCCTTAAACTGTCTTCATTTTTTTATATATCATATTCTTTTCCAGTGTTTGTGTGGAATCATTGGGTACTGCATCCACCCCTCAAAGTCATGTAACAATGATGGGACGTCAGGTTGGAAGACAGATTCTGGTAAAATCGTTGACAAATCACTACTCCCAATAAGGGCAATCACACTGAAGCGAAAACAGAAACCAGCTCTTATAACCTTTGGGAATGTCATGTGCAGTTCAAAACCTTTCGGTAAATATTTCTTTATATATATTTTTTAAAAATTACAAATCTTTTAACAAATCATAATTTAATAGCAACTTAAATTCAAATAAAATAAAAAAATATCTATTAAATTCAAAACTGAACAGAGGTTGGCAAATATTTTTTTCATGGAGAGCTGCATCATTGATTTAATCTTTCTTATCAGATCGCGTAATGAAAGTTGTCTTTAACGGCCACTCCTCGTGATTCTCATATAGCTGCCGGCCTATATCTTTAGTCCTCTTTCGTTTCTAATTCTCATCAACAATCTTTTCGATACCATCAGTTCCCGACTTGGTATCTGTGCTGATGATACAATTATTTACTTATATCTTAATAGTATATCTGATACGTTCGATAAAATATACTTGACAGCATATCTTGAAAATGGCACTCAATCTGTTGTTAGCTAGGGCAAGGAATAGCTTGTTAATTCTAATGATTGCAAAATGAAACCGCTTTATTTTAATGAACTTAATCTATTTTACCTTACATGGATGATGGTCATCTCCAGGAGAACTACTCATCGCGCCTTCTTTGTCTCCCGTTTTCCACTTACATAAAGGAGGATGATAATATTGAATCTATTTCTAGGTTTGCAATTTTTAGGTTTATTTATGTCGTGATAGACAAGTTTCTTCGCTAGAATCTGTCTTGCATATTTATAAGCCTACCATTCGTTCGTGCATAGAATATTGCTGTCACCACTGGTCTGGTGCTTCTGCTTTATATCTAAAGATTCATAATAAAATTCAAATAATAATCTGCAGTGTTATCAGTACTAACCTGGCATCTCGGTTTCAGTCGCTTTACTAACGACATAGCGTAGCTTTCCTGTGCCTTTTCTTTAAATACTTTCATGGTAATCATTCTGATGAACTTTCTTTTTCAAGCGCAGGACTAGATTGGCAACTAGGTCGTATGATTTCCCCAGGGAAATTTCTAGATGCAACCATATGTTCAAGTTAATAGTTTCGTCTCCTACACTTCTTGCTTGTGGAACCGTCTTCCGACTCCTTGATTTCCAGTGAGCTTTGATCTTCAAACATTTAAATGCAACGTCAATCGTCGTCACCTGTTTCATTTTATTGACCTCTCTATTTCTTTCACTCTCAGTAATCCCTTGAATCTTAGTGGCTTTATCGCCTTACTTCGGATAAAATGATTAAAAATGTCTTTCCTGTATAACATGAGTTATATCATAATAACATGATTTTCGAAAACATCAATATACTTAACGATTAATCAAACATATGCATGTTATTTGTACATTTATTGGAGATATTTTGTGACCAGGCTTCACAAATGTCTATATTTCTGAGATGAGGTATTGTAACTATTTACACTATTTACATTGTTCTGACTGGTGTCTTAATCTTTATTGTCATATTCACGACGTTGAAAATATCCCTAGTGAATAAAAACGTTGATTGAAGTAATCTAGTGACATGACCCAAAGAGTTGTGATTTCAATACCTCACCACAGAGGGGAACAAAAACTTGGAGAGTTGAATTACTAAAGGAAAATAACTGGTAAATAGATATCCAGAAAAGGCGTGGCACGTGGAACTAGAACAATCTACATCATTGGACTAAACAAACGGTTCAGTTCGAAATTACAACGTATGTCACCTGAAGAAGACCGCAACGTACAACGGCTGAAACGCCGTGAAGATGAGCACAACAGTCTGAATAATGTAAATAGTGTAAATAGGCTTCACAAATCTATGAGAAATTAGTTTCATGCTTAATACATTTATTATTTATTTCGTCCGAGAAATTTCTTTTACAATAATAAAAAAGATGTGTCGACAAATCTCGCGAGACTTTTATAACCGAAGTGTCAAAGTGACGTCATACGTTTATCTCTAATTGGCGTACACACAGGCACCTAGATCCCTGTGCACAGTGTGGAACGTAGCGGTCTATATGCCTGTGGTAGAACATGACACGATATGCCGATTTTGTAGGAAGTGAGTTTCCTAAAAAATGATGACTGTTGTTAACTGTTGTGTCGGAAACCTACCACCCCTCTGGAAGATGAACTTGTCTGCGAACAAAGACTTTAAATAGTGGCATGTCAAAAGAGAGATAGAGAAGTTTTAGCTGAGCTAGTTATTGACTACTCAGGCGATTTCTGTACCTTTGTACCAACCTATTAAAACCCTTTTTATTGTTACGTGTTATTTGGCGTTTGTCTCTACTAACCCCAAATCAACATCATAACATTAACCATATATGATTTTGTCTTTATTTTCTTTCTTACTGTTTTGTGCCATATGTAACACAAAGAAAAAACGAAATTATTTACATAGAGTTAAAAAAAAAAGTATTTGCTGTGCTATTACACCCCGCATAAATTCAACAGGTGGGCGATATTCAGCCAGTGGGCCGTAGGGCAGGTTGATTTTTCGCTTTGCTTAGTAAACCAACGGTGCAAAACTGCGGTGTGATGTGATAAGTACGGACATCAAGAATTAATTTCATAACTTTCATCAATTTCTGAGCGTTAATTTTTAAAGTTTGCTTAATAAAATGTACAGAAGTACATAATTTCTGCAGGTTTTTGCTTACGAACTGATTTCAAAATTTTACTATTCCAAGATTAAATCCAAATAATCTTTTCTATTAGATACATTGAATAGAAAATTATAATTCTTAATCACCGCAAACAAAATAAGCATTTTTTACTGTATTAGATATTTTTTCATTTTCCCAAGTCCTGTGAATACATGTTGGTTGCCAACTCGTGCCCGAGTACGGCCATTACTACATATCTTTTTGGAAAGTATCTACTGATGTGCTGAAAGAAGTGGCTCTTTAGCCCAGTAAGGGAACTACATATTCTGGCACAAACAGGGCACTTCTTAAGAAGTGCAGTAGCGGATGTTATATTATCATGCAATTTGGGCACCTCTAGGTGGTGTAATGGTTAGCAAGCTTGTCTCGCTAGAACAATTACGAATGAGTAGTGAGTTCGATCTTCACTGGGTGCCCCTTACTTTCGGCCTTGTGCCACATCCACGTTACGCTTGGAAAATCACTATATTATCATGCAATTTAAAATGTCACATTAAACCGCCTCTGGACTCGCATGTCATACTGCAAATATCACATTTCATTTGCTGGACATCTACGGCTTTATAGTTAATTGCCACCTTTTGTCGGAGCGCTCTCGAGTGACTCTTTAGACCAGCCATCGAAAAAATCGCTCTACCACAATCTGTACACGTCAGATCGAATTGCCTGCGGGTATCTTTAGGAAGTTCAACAGGGACGCCTTCACGCACATCTCTTTTAAGCCTTGCGTGCCACCTTCCACTCCGAGCAGCCACATTCCAATTATTGAATATATGAAGACATACATACATTCTTTTAATCATTTCACCCTAAGCAAGGTAGTAAAGCCACTAAGACACAAGGGTTTGAAAGAATAAGAAAAAAGAGGAACACTATTAGGAAGCGAGAGCAATAGAAAAGTAATGAAGATAGTAGATAACGATTGACATTGCATCTAAATTTTTTGAACATCAAAGTTGATTGAAAAGCACGGGACTGGAAGGGAGTTCCACAAGCGAGACGTGCGTGAAAGAAACACTTTGCATAAAACATACGGTTGCATCTTGCAAATTCAAGTGTAAATCGACGAGACCTTGACGCCAATCTGGTAATGCGTTAAAATTCATAAAGTCTATGTAACATAGAGAAGAGTTTCTCCGAACAATTGTCATGAAATGATTTATAGAAAAGACACAGGGAATCTACATTGGTGGGAAAGTGACAGAAACAGAGGCGCCAGGTCAGAGCCAATAATATTGCTGATTCATCTTTGGATTTTATCAAGAATCTCTAAATATACAACAGGACCATTGGACTATATGTGACTGCAATATTCAAAGTAAGGACGAATGGTATAACTTGTAGATTCTGGAGTGAAAATTATCTAGTACGACACAGTGAACCAACTTTCCTAGCAGTAGACTTAGCAATGGATTCAATATAATCTTTCCATTTCATGTCAGCCGAGAATGTTACCGAAGAAGGCGCAACGAGTCGCTCTCCTGGAGGTTAGCATCAGCCATGTTGATGGGAGGCAGGAAGAGGTTTATCTACATACAATCATACGCATAATTATATTAAAAATATTCGGTCATAACTTAAGTAGATTGATGCATAGCTCATTTTCTATTCTACAATCCAGTTAAAGAAAACGTTACATCACTCTATTCGAAACGTTAAATATTCATTTTCAAAAAGGAATAAATAAAAGATTCTGTTCATAATTGGTTAGGAGTGAGCAAGTCCGTTTATAGAGTTTTTGATTAGCGGCATATCAACACCTCTATAGGTCATTTAATGTCAAAATCTCAATATTTTGTACGCAATTTTATTTTATTTTATGTGGAAGTAATAACGGTTTTAGTGATAGAAGTCTTAGTAATTAACCCATACCTGAGTGAAGGGGGGTATTCATACCTTTCCAAAAAATATTTGATTGAAACGAACCCAACGGTCATTTGAACTCGGCTCTCCGATTAACAATTCCGAGCCATCCATGTTTACAGCACCTGGACTTTCTCCACATGTTCGATGTATGAGTGTGCGACAGCTCAGTTCTTATCCCCGAAAAGACAGAGTACCCCCAGCTTTGAATTTAGTGATAAGGGCTTGTGCAGAAACAAGCAAACTTTTTGTAAGAACCATTGTTTTTTTGCTTGGTTCGTTGATTCGTTTTTACGGTTTATCACCCCTATGCATGCTATTTAAAGACAGAAAATATTTTTAGATTGTAAGAAATTTTTATAAAAATAATAATGATTTTAGTGATACAAGTCTCATAGATAGAAGGAGAAGTGGTGGATTCATGCCTTTCCCAATTATATTTGCGTATAAGAGAATGTAACGAAACAAATAGAGTTGGAACTCGGCTCTCCGATTAACAATTCCGAGTCATTATCCATTACACCACCCTCACACCCATGCCTATAGCACATGCAGTTCTCACACGATCACTCAACGCGGTACTGACCAGGCTCAACGTTGTTTAACTTCGGCGATCGTACCCATTAGAGTTAATATAATTAACTCTAATTATAGATAGTTAATTGTATAGACTTTAGATAATTTTTTATAGAGTTAATTGTAAAGATTTATCGAAGTTTTGGTAAATTTACACCAACATGCCCTTATCCATTACACCACCCGTCAATCCAAGGTAACAGTACTTGGTATTCCCAAGCGGTCACCCATCTAGGTAGTGACCAAGCACGACATTACTTAACTTCAGTGATCGTACAGGAACACGTGTTTTTAACATGATGCGGCCTTGAGCACGCGAGAAGGCTGATTCAGTAGTATCAATGTCGAGAAAAACAATATCACTTCTCAGAAATTCAGAAGATATATTTACATTGCTTATAGATGCTAATCTCTTCGTTATTTTTTTTCTTCTCTTTCACAGATTTTCCAGTAGACTGTCACGAAGCTAAATTTAAATATAGCGTAAGACAAAACGAATCTGTGTTTATCGATGTCGATGGACCTGAAGGACCGCAACATCCGATTCCAGTTTTCTGCCAAATGACTGAAGAATTCCACGTCGGAATAACCATTATCTCCCACAAACAGTAATTATTACTGCTTATACATTATCTTTCAATGAATATGTTTCAATGAATATCTTCCAATGAATATCTTCCAATGAATATCTTTCAGTGAATATCTTCCAATGAATGTTCCAATGAATATCTTCCAATGAATATCTTGCAATGAATATCTTCCAATGAATATCTTTCAGTGAATATCTTCCAATGAATATCTTCCAATGAATATCTTCCAAATCGGAATATTTATCGACACCATTGATTATTTAGTTAATACACAAAAATTAAAAAATAGAAAATTATGTAAGACAGTCACTTAGGCGATCATGTATCTTTCGATGCATGACAGACGAGGCAGATTTTTTTCCCGCAGTAGTTTGCCATTTCTTTCTGCGGTAGACCAGTTGCCATCCAAGGCTATAGAACCCGGTCTGTCCTGTTATTTTACCCATAGCTGAAGGGAGCAGAGGAGGATTCATACCTTTCCCAAGGATATTAGCACGTAAGTGGATGTAATGGATTCGACTGGAATTCGAACTCGGCTCTCCAATTCCTCAATCGGAGCTGCTATCCATTACTCCACCGTGTCTTCTTCAGTCAGTTATGTACCATGCATGATACACGATTAGGCGATCATGTATCTTTTGATACATGACTGACGAGGCAAATTTTTTTCTTCGCAGTTGGTTGCCATTTTTTTCTACGTTTGAACAGTTGCCATCTAAGGCCATAGACCCCGGTCTGTCCTGCTATTTACCCATAGTTGGGGGGGGGGAGAAGTAGAGGTTTCATACCTTTCCCAAAGATGATATGACGTAAGTGAATGTAATGGATTCGACTCTAATTCGAACTCTGCTCTCTGATTCCTGAATCCAAGCTACTATCCATTCCCCCACCGTTTTCAAGGATGTATCTTTTCACCGGATTTATTCAGCCTATACAGTGACGTAATTCTAAGATAATTAGAAGTCCTATCAAGATTAATTATTGGTAGGACTTATTGGTATTTACAATGTTAACAACACAAGATATGCAAATGACACAGTGTTGATAGAAAACACAGAAAAGAAACTGCAAAAACCCCAACAGAATGTAGTGAAGGAAAGTGAGAAGAAAGAACTAAACATCAATTGCAAGAAAGCAGAATTTCAAGGTCGTTAGAAAAAAGGGACAGTCCAACACGTAAATCACAAATTGGAGATGCCAGAATGAAAAGAGTTAAACAATGTAAATATTTAGGAAGTGTTTTAACAGAAGACGGATTGTGCGACACTGAAATGAAGTCTCTGAAAAGCTAAGAAAAAATATTAAGAAACAGAAAATTTTCGTTAGTAACAAAGGAAAGAATACTGTTATAACCTAGGTAAGGGTTACTGAATGAGCAATAACCAAAATGGAGGTTGGAAATGAAATGGTAATCTTTATAACATCAACAAAATACAATACTCGCCAGCGGCATGAAGTAGGTAAACCACTGATAGTGGTGGACTACTTAGACAGCATATTACCCCACTTACAATAGTGTCCAACGTATTTATGAGGATTGGGACATACTCATTAGTATTTATAGGTACGGTATGTAACGCTATCTATTACTGTTTGTTCCCTATCTATCTATCTATCTATCTATCTATCTATCTATCTATCTATCTATCTATCTATGTTGTAACCTAAGAAGGGTTACTGAATAAGGAATAACCAAAACGGTGGTTGAAGATGAAATGGTAGTCTTTATACCATGAACAAAATGCAATACTCGCCAGCGGCGTTATGTAGGTAAACCACTGCTAGTGGTGGTCTATATATATCTATTCAGCATATTACCCCTACTTTCAATAGTGTCCAACGTATTTATGAGGATTGGGACATTAGTGTTCATAGGTAAGGTATATAACAAGTACTCATCTATCATGTAATATCAATTCTCCTATATGATAGTGAATGCTGAACAATCTTCTCAGAGATGAAGAGGAGACTTTAAATGTGGTTATACAGAAGTATGCTGGGAATACCATGCACCGAACATGTGAGCAAGAAGTTTTAGAAAAAATTGGTACAAAAAAAAACTTATACCTAACATCAGAAAGAGATGTAATTCTAGGGCGCATAATGAGGAAAGATGAAATTGGGCTTGGAAAATTTGATACTCACAAGACATATTGAAGGCAAGAGGATCGAAGGAAAACAACGCATAATATACCTTACGAGTATGGATAAACGGACGGCGGAATAAGTTTTAGGAGAGATAACAAAAAGACAAAATCTATTAACAACTACAAAAGACAGGAAATGGTCGAGAGCCATGATCGCCAACGTCCTGAAGGGACACGGTACGTAGCATGAAATGAAAACGAAGAAGAAGAAGAAGAAGAAGAAGGAGAAGAAAATAAGGAAAGAAGAAGAAGAAAAAGAAGAAGAAAAAGAAAAAGAAGAAGAAGAAGAAAAAGAAGAAGAAAAAGAAGAAGAAGAAAAAGAAAAAGAAGAAGAAGAAGAAGAAGAATCGCATCTAAAAATGACTTCAGGCTTTTAAATCGTTAAAACAAAAACTATTTCAAGAAAGCTGACGCGACACGGGCTGTCCAAAAATGACATTAAAAGTAAAACTATATAAAGAAAGCTAACATGACTTGGAAGGTTTAAATGATAGCCGAATTCGAGTAATTTTCCTGTTGCATTGGTTGCATTTTCTCAATTTAATTTAATAATTCATATTAACATAAATAATGAATTCTTTATGTGAATGTTCTATTAAGTCTATAGAATTAACTCCCTCTATAAAGACTTCATGCCCGCAAAAAACAGAGTGTACAAAAGAACAGTTTTTCCTTTGACACCGATATTATTTTAACCAACTTCAAGCCTAGACATTGTTTATTTTTTGAAAAGCTATGATTAAAATTGCAATAAAAGCTAAATATATGAAAGTAAAATTATACAGTTTCTTTATTCTTGAAAAGTGACAACAAAAAAGAATAAACACTATTTATTTATTATATTATTAATTACATTATTTATTAATATTAATCATTTTACACTATTTATTAATATTAATTATTTTACACTATCAATATTAATTATTGGAATTGTTTTGCAAAGCATCAGTTAATTGATTCTAACTTTATAAAATGGTAAATAAGGATTTCGTTATAGTTGGTTTAATAATTTATTAAATGTTTATAAATTTATGAAAACAGTTGTTATTCGTATTTATTCATTTATAAATTGGAAAATGATAAATATTGCATTGCATTAGTTTTTAAAATGTTGAAAATATAAAATTATTTTGTAAATAATCTAATAAATAAACAGTGAATAGTATTTTTGTTGTAAATTCTCAAGACAAAAATGTATAAATTCACTTTCATATTTTATTCCAATTCTAATCATCGCTTTTTAAAAAGAATGAAACATTGCCGAGGAGAGAAGGTAGTTAAAATAATAACGGTATCAGATATCCTCTACATATTCCCATAAACTGTGCCTCTTATTCTGTAATCCTCTACCTCGAGTGGCCCCCAGGCCTTGTACAGGGTGAAAATAATTGTAAAAAGTATGTGGGTACTCTGGTTGTTCTGAGATAAGAAATGAGCTGCTGGATCCTCATATGCCGAAAACGACTGGAGAGTTCATTATATATATATATATATATATAATATTATAAATTACTTGATTTAAAATATGGTTTTTCCGCTACACAGTTCTAACCATTTATGAAACATGGTTAGAACTGTGTAGCGGAAAAACCATATTTTAAATCAAGTAATCGAAATTCGCTTGAGGATGAAATGGAACTAATGTCTTTAATTTAGTTAAAAAATTAAATTTAGACCTTCCATTTTTGAAACATGGTTAGAACTGTGTAGCGGAAAAAACATATTTTAAATCAAGTAATTTATAATATTAATGCTCTGTAAATTTACATTGAGCAAAACAAAAAAACCTAGTGAGCCACATTTTTAGTTTTTTAGATTTTGCTCTACTGCGTGTATTGAGCACTTTTACGTTTTTACTTAATTTACTCAGTCGCTGTTTTTTTTTCTTTTGATCAGGCATTGCGGTGCTGATTGATTATTTTCAACCGATACGGATGTTTTTAGTCTTTTCTTTTTTTTACTGATTTTTTCTGATATCGGTTTGTCCAAATACATTTTTTATTTACAAATTGTATTATCCTTTTTCATACCGCCCGTGTATAGGTATTAAAATAATAGATAGTATATATATATATATATATATATATATATATATATATATATATATATATATATATATATATATATATATATATATATATATATATTTTTAACACATTTTTATGTTTGTACGTTCTGTTTTATAGATACAAATATTGAAGTAAATGCTCTGTTTATAATAAAGAGTATTAACGACATTTACCGGCCTGAATGTCCGAAAAATTTTCATAGAAAAAATGCGCTCTGCAACAGGAATCGAACTTGTATCCTATACGGAAGCGTCATATAGCCTGACGTGCTTTACCGATTTAGCCACAGAGGATCGTTTCGGTTAGCCAAGTCGATTACTCTTTTTAAACAACAATTCTCCATGATTTTCTCTCGTACATTCATATCTGCTCGATGCGTATCCAAATGTAAACAAATGACGTCACACATTATGAAATGAACAAAGTCCGACAATTATTTTAAGACATTTTTATGTTGATGCGTTCTTTTTTTTATAGATACAAATAGTGAAGTAAATGCTC